AAATTCCATTGCTTTGGAAGCAGCAAAGAGAAAAAAAAGTTTACTTTAGTAAAAAAAAATAGTCCAAACGTTGTGCTTACTTCGATTCCCCACCCTCTTTGCGGAATACTGACTGGCTTGAGACGACCGTGACTCCTGCTCCCACAACCAAAAAGAAAATAAATAAGAAAAATAAATAAGAAGTGAGACCAAGAAAAAATATACATTTTTTTTTCCAAATAAATATATATAAAAAAAAAAAAAAAAAAGGTACAAAAAGAAAAAGCAATATACATATATATATGTATATAAACAGTAATTTAAAAAAAGGCCAAATTTCACTTGGCGTCTTGCAATGACAACGCCCTTACACGCCCGCAAAAATAAGCACATCGAGAGTATGGAAATCCCAAAATAAAGGACACAAACAAACAGCGTTTCTTTACTTTTATTGCTTTTTCTTGGTACATAAATATACAAGAAGCTTTTCACAATCATATAAACAACCATATACGCGTAAAAAAAAACCTTTGTTTGACCCCGCCCCTTCCTATTTCCATCAGTAAGGGTACCCTCTTGGATGGCCCGGTACCGAGTTCTGAAATGAATGATGAAAAAGTTGATTGGGTTCTCCTTTATCGTAACCTGATGTTGGTGGGGAGAGTGGGACCTGCGGATGTAGAGGATGCTGTTGTTTATACGTTTGTCTTTGTTCATGCTGTTGATAGGGATCTTCCTGTTGTTGTCGAATAAATTGTGTTTGTACCCCGGGTTGCTGATAAGACTCTTGGTTCGGCTGTGGTTGATGGGGATGAAGCTGTTGTCCTTGATGCTGGTGTTCTTGTGGTTGTGGCTGTGGATGCACATACGTGGAAATATGCGGTGTGGTAGGGTTTGTTGTCGGAATATGAGGCGCAGACGTGCTCAAATCAAAGTATTTTGGCATGGCGTACTGCGGTCGGTGGTGCGGAGTTCCCATGGAGGATTGGATGCCAAACAATCCCTGCGGATGAGTACCGTGCTGCTGATTTTGCTGCTGCTGCTGCGGCGTCGGCGGTGCCCCAGTGGGGAAAAGACCGCCCCTCGGATACATGGAAGGATGCTCCC